TTGGGTCCGTGGGCGGCTGCTGAGCCCGGCTCTGACACCAGGGCTGTGCTGTCACTCCTGGCACGGCTGCGGGGAAGGCGCTGCCGCAGGGACTGGAGGAACAGCAGCAGCTGGGAGGAAGCGAGGCTATGGCACTGACCTGATCCCAATCAAATCCACAGCCAGATCTGTCCCGTTTATTCATTTGCTGCTTCAAAAACCAGCTTTTGAGGCGCAGGAAATAGAAGGTGCTGATAAGAGCCGGTGTTTTAATTTTCTTTTTATGTTGCTCCCTATAGGAGACCCTCTCATCCATTTTTAACATTTCCAGTTCTAAAAAATAGCTGGGGTATTTTACCACCCTTTTAGCATAGTTAATCCTCCCACAGGAATGTAGAATTAAAGGGAGAGTGGGAATATTTTTCTGTGGAATCAATGGAAAGTAATTTCTGACATCTGTGGCCATGGATGGTCAGGATTTGAATCAGACCAGCGGATTGCAGTGAGGGGACTTGCAAAGTCTTCATCCCAAATCCCTGTCCAAGCAGGGAAGAGCAAGGACCAAACACGGAGAGTGGGTGAGCAGGGAAGGGGTCTCAGGGCAGAGCAGGACTGAGCAGCCTCAGTTCAGCTGAATGCAGTGACCATTATTGGCCAATATTGGTATTTGGATCCCTCGTGTAAGTCCTAGTTTATGAAAACTTCTAAAAACCTGTTGGCAGGTGAATGAGTAGCCAGGTTGTCAAAGCCACCACTTAGAGATAATGCACTGACACTGTTATCAGCACTGACAGTGCTTTTTAGGTGAGTAATACTGACAAACTAGGTTTCAGGGTCTGTTTCAGCTGCTTTATCTCTCTTGAGTGCACATATAGTAGGAGATGGTAAGTTAGTGGTAAATGTATTTATTCCATCTCACTCTTCATATGAAAAAGACACCTATACCTAGAAAAGGTACAAGGAGTGATGAAAAGGATCTGTGGAGACATGCACAGCCTGCCTATGAGAAGAAACTTAATAGTCTGGGACGTGTGATATAAGGGAGACAAGAAAAACCTATAAAGTCATGATCTGGAGATGATGAAAAGCAAATGATCCTCTTTTGTTGGGATATGATACTGTGAGACTCCCACTTAAATAACCAGGCAGCTGTTTAAAGCAGCAAAATGAGGTGACTTTTTTACTTCTGTAATGAAATTCTGAACCTCGCTCGTTGTATGGAATCATGAAGAGGTTCAGGTACCTGTGTGACAAGTTCATATCCATCGGTGTTAATACATGTTACATTACATTATATTTTTATTGCATTCCTAAGGGCACATCTTTGGACTGAAGATTGCTGACATTGTTTCCTTGTGCATGGTGAAGTGTTTGGGCACAGGATGCTGGGCCAGATAGCGCTGGCTGCGTGCAGCGGAAACCCAGGATGCTGATTATATCCATCCTTTAGCTTGTAACTTGATATTCACTGCTCCGTGGATGCACAGAGCTGCGAGCTTTGCAGCCAGATCAATGTGTCTCCTTCAAGCAGAGCCAGGGAATTGGGCAGTGTTTCTGAACAGGCAGAAGAACAAACATTCTGACCAGTGACTTCTCAGGATTTTCTATGCATTAGCTTAGTTTGATAGTGGTGATTGTTCTGTTGGATTTGGTTTGGGAGTTTTTAGTGGTTTTGTTTTTTTTTTTTCCTTTTAAAACAACAGATGTTTTAAAACATGAGCATGAGGGCATCACAGCTTACCAAGGGTGTTTGTAGGGGAGAGCTGAGAAAGGGTGATCCAGGAGCGAGTCTGGCTCCTGAGGACTCGCTCTGGTTCCACGGCAGCGTTACTGCAGCTGCAGAATCGGAGAGGAGATATTTGCTTTATGCCTAAGAGGCTTTATTGTTTCTAAACTATATATAGTCCTGTAATCTCGCTTTCGACGGGGGGAGGGCATCGCGGGACAGCCTCCAAAGCATCCCCGCCCTGCCTGGTGGGCGAGCGAGGGGTTAACGCGGGGGCTCTCGCAGTGGCCAAGCTCATTGTCAGAATAATGTTTAGCCAGGTGTTAATCTGTGTCTGGAGGGAAGTGCTGGAATTCATTATTCATCCCGCTGGGGGAGGTCACGGTCCTGGGCGGCTGCCAGCGCCGGAGCCAGCCTCCTGGCTTTACTGACATGTGCCATTTGTGATGAGGAGCGGAGCTGCGGCGGGGCTGGCAGCAGCGCCGGGCGCTCGGCAGCGACACGGCTGGGGCTGGGGCTGGGGCTGGAGGACGGACGGACACGGGCTGGAGGACGGACGGACACGGGCTGGAGGACGGACGGACACGGGCTGGAGGACGGACGGACACGCCGAGCCCCGCGGCACAGCGCCTTCCCCGCCCGTCCCCTCGGCTCTCCTGCCCAGCGGGACAGGTTTGGGTCCCTGCGTGGCCGAGGGCAGCAGGTGACACCATGATCAAGTCCAGTTGGTTCTACGTCAAGTTCAAGCATGCCGAGAAGGTAAGTCCAGCTTCTGCTGCAGCCCTTCCCCGGGCACTGGTGGGGCTCAGCTGCTCCCCTGCCCTGGAAGCATCACCGGGATTTGGTTTTCCTGTGGCTCCACAGATAAGGCTGTGCCCCTGCAAGTGGCACCGGGATTTGGTTTTCCTGTGGCTCCACAGATAAGGCTGTGCCCCTGGAAGTGGCACCGGGATTTGGTCTTCCTGTGGCTCCACAGATAAGGCTGTGCCCCTGGAAGTGGCACCGGGATTTGGTTTTCCTGTGGCTCCACAGATAAGGGAGCAGCGCAGGGCACGGGCTGCAGATGTGGCAGCAACTTCAGCACGGTGCAGGTGGAGGGGGAAAGCTCAGATCTGATTCCTCCAGTGCCTTCCACGGGGGAAAAACAATAGAGATGTGTTTGTGTTCCTCATGTGGAGCTTGAAAGGGAGGAATATTTCTTGTTCTGTAGAGCCCATTATGAATTGTGACCTGATTCTGCACGGAGGTCAGTTGTTTCTTCTCCTCTAGTACCTAAGTATTTAACTGTCCATGATTATTCCTGGAAGAAAGAAGTTGTATTGATCAAAAAGCAGCAAGATGTATTGAAGACTCTTTGGTGTGGGGTTTACTGTGGAGTTTGCTGTATTTCCCGTTGCACAGAATAGTGTTTCTGTGGGATTTTCCTCTTGCACTCAGCTTCTAGTTTCTCTCACCTGTGCCTTGGTACCCAGATGCCTGGGGGAAGCAGAGGAGCAGGGATGGGGAGGGAGGATGGACCAAGATTGTGCAGGAACCTGCTTAATAGAGGTGTGTTTTTACTGGAGATCTCCTGGAGGGTTTCCTGCCCCAGGGCAGGATTTCCAATAGTGCTGCAGTGCAGGCAGAATGTGGATGTAGCTTTGCTGTTTCCTTAATCCAGCAAAATAGGGAAAAGAGCAAGGCAACTTTTTATGAAAATACTAATCAGCCTTGCTGCTTCCCTAAACATTCTTGAGCAGTTAGCAACTTGCTCTTCTTAGAACAGAGGGAAAACCCATGCATGTGCTATTAGACTGAAATTTTCTATTCTGGAAAATAATCCCACATTGATTTATTTCTTGTCTTTGTGCCTCAAGTTATACTGCACTAGTGTTTTATTTAACAAAAAAACATATAGTATATAATTTAACAAGACTGTCCTATCATTTATCCTAGGCTGCAAATAGCATATTTAACAATCTCAGATGTAACTGTTCCATTTTGTTTGTTTGGGGAAGTCTTAAAAATGCTGCAGAATCCACTGTATCAGGCAGTTATTATCTTCTTGATGTTTCACTGCAATAATTCTCTGTTCTTTAAAGTTATATCCAACTTATAAACATCTGCAATTAAACAAATCACCTCAGCATATTTAGCATATGGATATTACTGGAAATAATCTAAGCAATCACCAGTTATTTACCAGTGGGTGAGGTTGGCTATTTAAAACGCATGGGGGATTTCTTTTTACTCTACATTTTGTGATTCAGTTCCTTTCTATTTTTTTTTTTTTTTTTGACACCCCTTGCAGTTGATCCAGAAAGCCCTGGAGTCCCTGAGCAGAGCAGATAATGTTCCTGCTCTGCTGTCACCGGCTGGTTCTGTGGAGTGTTACATAACCTGTCATACCAGTTTTGTCAGAGTCAGATACTTCTGAGATCTACAACTTGGGAAATTTGAACATGGATGAAATCCAGGAAACCCATTTAATCTGTCTACTTACAGTTACTTGTTCTTTACAAGACTTTCTTCTGATCCACTAGAGAAGGTGCCAAGTCTGTTCATCTGTTGGGGGAAAAAAGCCCCAAACCATAATGTACACATGCAGGAAGGCAAGAACTGATGTGCATGCCTGGTCTTTTACTGGATTTCATGTGTGATAAGGGACTGTTAACCCTTTGTGTTGAAGTAGGAGTTTCCTAATGAGAAATTTTGGGTTTGGCTACGTGGGAGGGCTGTACCCCCTTGCTGAATGCAGGATTTTGTGTCAACGTTCTTGTTGCAGTTAGGGTTTGGCTCATTCTGCTTTAGCTCCCAGTCTTGTCTGCCTGTGAAAGTTGTGCTAGTGTGGCCTAGGTGTGAATTGATGCTGAATTTATTAAACTGGTGCAGTTCTCTGGCTGGACACTCTGGGTGCACGCTCCATGAAACAAGTATTTCTGCAATAGTGTAACCACACTGGCTTAAAAAATTAGGTCAAATTCTTTTGCAACTCCTCTGTGTTGTCATGGTCTTAGAAATTGGGTTTATGTCAGCTAAGCTGAAGAACCTTTGAAATTCTCAAACCAGCTTTTTACAGCAGTTTGTCTAAATGGATTTAAAATCTCCCTTGGAGATGCAGTTTCTCCTCTTCAGCTGGCACAAGTGTGGGCTGCTGCAGGAGCCAGTGCTCCTCTCCCAGCAGTGGTGCCTCTGCAGCCACATGGGGTGGTGACCCCACCTCCACCTGAGCTGGTTTGATTCCTTTTTTGTGCTGCCTTTGTTTCCAGGCAGGTCAGTGTGTCCCAGTTCACCATGAGGGTCTGGCCCTATGGGGTGTACCTGGATGAGCAGAAAGGACAGTGATGTCTCTTCTGGCAACAGCCTGTGAAAACCAAATTAATTTAACTTTGCTCTCCTCATGTGGAAGTGTTATATAATCTCTGTTTAAGGGAGGTCATTTTAGGTTAGGAGGAGGTTGGGTCTGTGCCCTCCTGTCAGTGCAGTATCTCAGTTAATCAGAACTGGAGCTGCTCTTCCTGTGTGTGCTGACATTGCACAGCTCCCTCTTAATTCTCTTGTAAAGAAGTTCATTGACATTTTTACTGGCTGGCCGGCTTTGCTGAAGTTGCCATCCTTGCCTCTGGCCATCACAAATATTCTTTTTTTCTTTTGGGTTACTTCAGAAGATGTTGATGTCTGAAGGCCCCACTTGGATAAAGCAGATATATTTATATGAATGTCAGAGGTAACTGCAGGAAGCTTGTAGATTGTACAGTTTTGCTTCCCATATACATTGTCAACCTGCTTTATTCTCTTGGCATCACTGCTTTCCTGCCATAAACTGCTCCATTGGTTGTGTTTGAATGCTGCTCATCCCGGCTGGGTTATCTACAGAGAGACCTGAACTGAGGTGTGCTGATGGAACTGGCCTCAGGGATTGAACCCTCACAGCCTTCTGGGATCCTCCAAGCTCTTCACATCCACCTGGAACCTTGACATCTCCTAATCAGTTCATTCATGTCATCTGCCTGCTTGCTCAGTGGCCAGTTTGTACAGGTAGGAACTGGTCGTGCGTTTGTGGCTGCAACACAAAGCCTGAACAATGGTCACCTAAAGACATGTTGGAACTGAAAACAGGAGAGAAAGACACTGGTTAAGCTGATGTCCTTTGGTTGGTTAGTTTGCTCAAGTCATCCAAACAGTTCTTTTAAGTTGTGACAAGCACAATAAAACCTTTTCCCAGCAGTACATTTCTAGTTGTGATTAAAATAACCAGATAATAAAACTAACTAAAGTAGAAAGCTCCACACATCATCTTGAGTCTATTATCAAGTTAATTGCTAACATTCTATAATACAGACTGAAAGAAGCCTACAGGATAAACCCCAAAGTTTTCATGTTTGCCTTTTCAAAGATTTAATATAAGGTCATTTGGCCACGAGCCACTTGGACATAATACCCATATTCAGTCTGAGTGCATTTACACCGGAATTAAGATTCAAAGGCTTCATGTGAATAATATTGCTGACACCAGAAAATCAGTTTAATCTGAAGGGGGAAAGAAAAAAGGCAAGCTCTTGGAAAAAATCTGTGAAATTCTAGAAAGTGTGGGAGACATGTGGAGGGAGGCAGCGTGAGTGGGCAGTCTGGCTGCACGTGTTGCTGCCTGGATCTGAGGGAGCTTATGGATGAAAATGGAGGGCTTGAAAGGTTTTGCTTTGTCCTTGAAAAGCCCTGTCCCTTGTTTGAGGTTCATTGACAGATATTGCTGAACTGAAGCAAAGCTTAATTTTCCTGTTCCCAGCAGTGCCCAAGGGAGAGAAGTGCTGTATTTCTAGCTAGAAAATTAGATTAAAACACCCACTACCTAGATCCAGGGTACATTCATTTCATCCTCTCTTGTAAGACTCTCACTACTCTGAAAGGCAGTTTACAGTTTTGACAGCTAAAATAAAAAGCCTGAAGGACAAGCAACCACTTTGAATGTTAGAAGGACTTCATTTCCAGCAGAAAGATTTCAATTACAGTCATTTTCCTCCAGTAAGTACAAAGAGGTAAATGGAACCCCTGTTTCAAATGTTAAACTCACAGACTACATTATTACCGCTTGTACTTTGAAAGTAAAGGATAAAGCCCATCTAAATCAAAGCCCTGGTTCCAAATTACTTTTTAAGAGTATGATGAGGTCTGCACCCGGTAATTCAGCCACTCTGCTGAGCAGCACAGAGCACATCAAATGTGACTTCCATTAGACCGAGCTGCTCGTGGGGGGGATCAAGGCAGGAAGCATCTTTCTTGACAAGCACTGAGAGTTGCAACTTGAAAGGGCTGCTCTGCAGCTGGAAATTCATGAGTTGGCTGTATTTTTAGAGAATTCAGGGTTTTTTTCATCCCTGACTCTGCTCGTTATTTGTCTTGTCCCTTTTAGCAGTAATTTGACAAAGATTTGGTTATTTATCTCCTGTGTGGCACAACCTTTTCTCCCTCCCACTCACCACAAGAAGGTTTTTCATCCCAAACCATTTCCTCCCCTTGCTGGGGTAGGGAACACCTTTCCATAATATACTGAACAGATACTGAAATGTGCACAGTGTTTGCATAACGCAGTGCTCTAAAGAGCCTGACAGCTGAGGTGATAAATCAGCCTGATGACCTGAGCTCACCAGAACATCCATTGTGCCTGGAATGATGAATCCTCCCAGAAATGTATACCCTGGCTTGCTGGAGCCAGGGATAACCGAGTGTGGGTGATTTTTTGGGCCAGAGCTATGCCCAGAGGCATGGGAGGAGTGCAGGCAGTGAACCAGGAGAGCTGCTCCCTGCTCCACTGCCACTCAAACCTTCCCTGGGAGGTGGGAACTCCCCTGTTTCTTCACCAAAAGTGTTTGCTGGAGATAATTGTGCAGATTTGATTTATGTATCTTTCCTACTTATTTTCCTCATTGCCTTCTTAGAAGGATTTCTGCAGGTGTGAAATCAGATGTTACTCCTTAAACTGATGGGGATTATCAGCAAAGGGTTGTGTTGTCCTGAATTACTCAGCACCGACACCTGGTTCACTATTTTTATCACTTTTAGCTGCTAAAATTTTAAATTTTTCCTTTCCTTTCCTGCCTATGAATACTACAAGTTTGCTTTTTTAAAATTGTATTGCCACTGTGACTGACAGCATTTTAGGGAAATGAGTGAGATTTGTCATTTTATATTCTTGTGAACAGAGATTAAGCGTAATCAAGGAAAACAGATGTAGGGATTTAATTTACTTGTAAAAACAAATTACTACAAATTATAAAATCATAGAATGGTTTGGCTTGGAAAGGTCTTTAAAAATCATCTAGTGCCCCACTTTGCCATGGCAGGGACCCCTACCACTGTCCCAGGCTGCTCCCAGCCCTGTCCAGCCTGGCCTTGGGCACTGCCAGGGATCCAGGGGCAGCCACAGCTACCAGGGCCTGCCCACCTTCACAGGGAACAATTTTGCCCTGATCTCTTACCCAAATGTGCCCTTGCTCTTCAGGAGCCTGTGCTCACTTGGACTCAGCTCTTCCCCTGCCTCCCCTGGTCATGTTACCCTGTGAGTGCCACTAAACCCTGTCACACAGAGCTGCCTTGCTTCATGTTTTAGCCGTCCATCATTGCATTTTGATTTTCTCTGGCCTTGCAATGAGCACAAGGAGCCTGCCAGTGGTGGCTGCAGCCTGCACAGCTGCTTTGCTTTGCCCAGCAAAAGGGGCAAAGGGCTGGCAGTGGCTCTGAGGAGGTTTTTCCTCCTTCCAGCCTCACGTGTGGCTTGGGCTGGAGCAGCAGCAGCAAACAGGGGCTTGTGTCTCCATGGTTTGGTAAGGCCAGTGAGAAGCAGGCAGGGCTGGAAGCCAGAGGAGGGAATTCCATCCCTGTTCCATCTCCAGCCCCAGAGGGATGGGAGGCCAGCTCCTCAGGGCGAGCCAGCCCCTCGGCTCTCATTTGCTCCTGGGCTGCAGAACCAACTGAAGGACTTACTTATTTTGCTTTAGTTATGTATTTGCTTATTTATTTTTATTTAAATGGATCTTTATCAGTTCTGCCAGTTCTTGGTAGTTAGACTGGTTCCTGTGTGGTTTTGGATAAGGGTGTTTAACTAAGCTGTAAAATCTTTCTTTCCGTGCTGCAGATTGAACGTTTGCCATTTGCTTTTTTTGCTCTAAATTGTTATCAGCAAGGCCCTCTAAGATTTTTCGGCTTTATTGGGAATATGGTAGAGATGTAAAAGGCTTTTTCTTCCGTGGTCTGGGGCAGTGGTTGCATCCTGTGTGTCAGGATGACTCAGGGGCTGCTCCTGCCCGGGCAGGTGCTGGGAGCCCCGTGGGACATCAGGAAGTCCAAGCACCACCTGCTCCCCCCGTGATATTTCTCACAAAGGGAGTCACTGGAGCAGAACTATTTAAGCATCTCAGTGACACTTCAGGGTCCTCCCACTTGAAAGTGGGAATATGTGCAATTTTTTTTCATCTGGAGCCAGCATCTGGACAGCTTTGTCTTTAACATGGATTGGGATCTAGACCTCAAACTTCTCCATCTTTAGTCCTTGTTTTTTGCATATTTTTGTGAGACTGAGAAGAACTGAATGCTAATGGGAATAGTCAGTGGCAGATAAAATAGCAAAGGGGAAAAATAAAACCCCGTTACATTCTTCTGATGTAAATTTTTAATCAAATGTATTTTCTTCTGTTAAGCAACTTTTACAGCCCACTGCACAAAACATACAACCAAAAACCTTTGCACAATGAACTGCATGTAATAGGCTAGCAATGCATCCATTACACGTTTTTAGGTCTGTAATGCATTTAAATCCATTTTTGTGTGCATGGTAGTGTAGCCTTCAAAAGATAATTAGAATTTACTCAGTCTTGCCTTCATAGTTCCTTAGGTTTTATTCCAATTGCAATGCTTTGGAAAGCTTCATTAGAAGTGGTCTTTTCTGTAACTAGAAGGAAATTCCATTTGAATACCTTAGGACATTCTCAATAGGTTAGAAAGCTGAAAGTTTTGTATCAAAATCTCTGAAGTGCTTGTACAGCCACAGTGTGCACCATTCTGCAGCACAGCTGGGTTGGAAGCGTTGGTAGATGACAGGAGGCTGTAACAGCAGTAATAATTACATTAAATAACAGTTCTCAATCTGAATAATTGGAGGTGAGTTTTACAGCAAGGTGTGGATGTAGCAGTACCCTTTTTGCAGGTGCCTGGAGCCCTCATTTCCAACCCAGCTCCTGCTGCCATCTCCTGCTGCCATGTCAGGGCTCCAAGCAGCCTTTTCCCTCAGTTCCAGCATCCCTGTGGAGTTTCCTCTCCCCAGGCTGTCTGTGTCACAGGACTCCAGCTCCCTTCTGGATCTGCCTGTGCCCCCTGGGCTGGGCCTTGGTGGCTGCTGCTCATGGTGGGATGGAGCCACTCGTGGCTCAACGCTTGCCACGGTGAGGACACCTGAACAGTGTTATTCCTCCTGCTTTGAGCAAGTCATGGGCTGGTTTGGGCTCAAAGGGACCTTAAAACACATCCCATTCCATAAAACACATCCCATTTCATAAAAGACATCCCATTCCTCAATCCCTTCATAGACAGGTTTGGGTTCAAAGGGACCTTAAAACACATCCTATTCCTTAAAACACATTGCATTCCTTAATTCCTTCATAGACTGGTTTGGGTTCAAAGGGACCTTAAAACACATCCTATTCCATAAACCACATCCCATTCCACCCCTGCCATGGGCAGGGACACCTCCCACTATTCCAGGTTGCTCCAAACCCTGTCCAAGCCCCTGAACACTGGCAGGGATGGGGCAGCTTCTCAGGGCAAACAGTGCCAGGTATGAGGAACAATTCCTGCCCAGTCTCCCATCCAGCCCTGCCTCTGGCAGTGGGAAGCCATTCCCTGTATCCTGTCACTGCACCCCTTGGACATTGTCTCTCCATCTTTCCAGTGGTTCCTTCAGCACCGCAAGGCCACAGTGGGGTCACCCCGAAGCTTCTCCTCTCCAGGCTGAACAATCCCAGCAGAGCTCTCTCAGGCTTCCCTCCCAGCAGAGCTGCTCCATCCTCTGCTCGTCCTGGTGCCTCCTTTCAGGGGTTTCTGTGGGGTTCTCCAAGCAGGGGCTGCTTTCAGCACTGTGCCAAGAGCAGGAGCTTTGGAGCAGGGATGTGGGCAGGAGCTGGCCGAGCTCTCCCAGGGCTGTGCCCAGTGAGTCCTGCCAGGAGGAGGTGCCGGGGACAGGAGTGTGCTCCAGCTGCCTTCCCTTGGACCTGCTGCCTGGGAGGGATCCTTTGGGG